AGACTTCTAGCATTTGCATATTTATTTATAATATGTTAAAATATAGCAGAGTAAGCTACAAATCTATTTCATACTAAAACAAATGCAGCTTTAAAAGTTTTTAGTGCATATTTTAGGGTTTTTGCATTTTTTTTTGCTATTTTTATAAGTTTCATGCTATTTTTTGCATATAATTTGTTAATCTGAAAAATGAAGTTATTTTGTGGTTTGTACTTAGTGATCGGTAAATGTTGTTTTAAATTCCTACTTTACAAAAGTAAAATATWAAAACGTATAAAGTCAAGATTACATAAAGACTTCAGTATGGATGCCAATTATTCGACGAATACCATTTCATTCAACCGTTCGATTTTATAATGTAAACCCAACTTTACCAAGTTTATTAATAACATGTCGCCACTTGACAAGGGATTTTTTTGTCTACCTATAGATAAAAATATTCCAATTATATAAAAGATGTCATGTTTATTGAGCCCGTATCTTAGTTATTTCTTTGAAGAACAGGTAGTTGTACGTCGGCTAGTGATTGTGATCGTTTACATTCGTAAACCGTGCATGTTATTTTAAAGTTGTGCTGTTCGATTTTAACAAACATTTTAAAATCATGCCTAAAGAAAAAATATTGTTAGTTCAATGTTTAAGAAGCTATGTACGTGAATTTGGTGCGGACACGTTTTCATATAATTCGTCAATGCTTTTTTATAAATACTGCGAAATTAAAGTTAACTGTGAAAAAACATTCAACGTAACACAGCATCAGAAAACGGAAAAACATATCAAAGCAATTAAATACCGGCAGGAAACAACACAACTTATAATGAATGCAAGTAAAAAATCATCTTTCAACAAAGATTTATGTAACGCTTTATTATCTGCTAAAATACCTTTAAATAAACTTTCAAATAATCAATTTTGTAATTTTTTGGAAATTTATACGGGAAAAGAAATTCCAATGGAATCTACGTTAAGGTTAGGCCTTGCTATGTGGATGATTTATACGTTGAAACAGTTGAAAAAATAAAATCAGAAATTTTAAATAAAAATATATGGGGACAAGACTACAGACATCGAGGGACGTTACATTGCGAATGTTGTAGTGGGCAATTTGGAACTAGATAGACCAGGGAAACAATTTTTAATAAATTATGCAGAACTAKAAAAAATAAACTTTTCAACAATAAGTTAACAGTTTGATGATTCCTTACGTTTAATGGATATTCATTGTGATCACGTGTTACTATTTTTAACTGACGCAGCGCCATACATGGTAAAATCAACTACAACACTTAAAGCCCTATACTCTAAAATGATCCATATTACATGTGCTGCTCATGGCCTACATAGAGTGGCAGAAAAAGTAAGAGGTGAATTTAAACCAGTTGACAAGGTCATAGCTAGGATTATAAAGACTTTTAGAAAAGCTCCAAGTTGTGTTCAACTTTTCACATCCTTAGCCCCTGAATAAGTCTACCTCCAAAAACCTGTAATTACATGTTGGTGTACCTGGATCAATGTAGCAAATTATTACTGTAATAATTTAAGAACCATTCGTTCTATTTTTTAATTACTTGACACTGACAATGCCGTCAGCATCAATGAAGTGAAAAATATATTAATAAAAACGGAATAGACGTTGATCTTATTTTCATAAAATCAAATGTTTAGTCCTTACTACATCTTTAAAAAGATATCAAGCACAGGAKTTGTTATTATCTGACTATATTGAAATAATTAACAATGTAGAAAAATCATCTAAAACTCTACGAGCTCCAATTGGATTGAAAATACAGTCAAAATTAAAACAAGTATGAGAAAAAAATACTAGACTAWCACTTTTGAAAAAAATATCTTGCATTTTATTGGGTATAATAAACATCAAAGAATTAGATGGAAATTTCCAGTTGATATTTCTAGTATTGATGTTCCATACTTCAAGTTTGCCACTATCACATCGGTCGACGTTGAACGCTCATTTTCAACGTACAAAACAGAGAGATGGTTCAAATTTGAAAATATTCACAAACACATAATAATACAGTGCAATTTTCAATGTATAAACTAAAATTTATAATTTATAATATTTACCTACTTACTTACTAATTTATTGAAATTTACATTTACCAATTATGTTTACAAGAATGAAGAAATCATACATTTATAATGGTCTATTAAAAGAATAACACTAGAAAATTTTTTAGAATTAGATTATAAATAAATATTATTAGAATTAATGAAAATAATTTTTTTTTTAGAGCATATTAATTTTTTTATTGGGCATATTTTATATTTTTTTAGTGTTGGAAGTCTCGAGCCCTGGTTATTATGAATATAATATTATTTTATGTATATCTAAAATAGGTGGAAATAATTAAATGTTAAGATCGATCAGATTAGTGATGCAAAATGAACTGAGGTGACAATTTTATGTTTGTTTTACACCTGAATAAAAGTGTCCCTGGTCTGAAAACTTGAAATTAAATAATATTTCAGTCATTCTAACTCTTTAAAGGAACAATGCTAGTATATAATATACATACTATGTGTCAATGAGTTCTAATAAAATTGAAAAGTGCCAAGGTATATGTAATCTTTGAGTCATTCCAACCTAGAATCGAAGAATTAACAGTGTCATTAGCTAAAGAGTACAGGGGTAAGGTGTTGTAGATTTTATTGTGTCCCTCAACAAGTCAGACCTCTGTGATAAAGAAACATACTGAATACTAATTAAGATAACTTACTCTATTCCTAAATCTACTTCAGGGATACCACTCAACATTTGATTTGATAACATTTCTTCAGATCTGTGAGTGGTTGAGTTTSGTAAATGTGATGGGACAGCTTGTAATGCTGCCAATTCTGGTGGACAATAGTTTGATTTATTGAGACTGACATTATCATCTTCTATATCTAATATTCGACCTGTTCGTACCGCCACTTGTTCATCAATATATTTCATCCTAAAAATATATTTTTATTAACTGTACTTGTTTTAATTAAATTACTAAAAACAATATTGGTTAATATTTTTACATTTCTTCGTCTTCATCTCGTTTATTAGTTTCAGCTGAAAATTGTGTTCCTATTCCAGTATCATAAGCATCATCTACTTGAGTTACTTGTCCAGTTTTTAAAGCATTCATATTTATTAATCCACCAGTTTTTACTTTAAATGGATCAACCTAAATTAAATTTGAATAGTAAATTGATTAGTGATTTTAATATTAAATTAGTAATAATTTAACTTTTAAGTAATTAAAGTATTTAACTTCAAAGAACATTTAGTCAATTAACAACTTATATTTTATTTCTATTTTACAATACCCAACTTTGAACTATTGAAGTGTAATGACAATTAATTAAGTTCAAAATGAATACAAATTTAATAACCTACCATTAATTTTTCTTCTTCTTGAGAAAGTTTCTCCCCTAGTGCAAGGCTAATGATATTTACACCATTAGGCCTGTCTCTGAGTTTTTGCATAGATTTCATTTCTTCAAGTTTACCACTAAAAAATTAAAAAATTCATCAAAGCACTAGGAATATTGTTAACTTAAATTGTGTTTACGTAATAAAGAAAAAGTCAAGCTTACAATACATCTATATCATCTTCTTGTTCGTCGTCATCTATTCTCTTTCTTAATGAACGCCCTTTTGATTTTTTTTTTAACAAAACTGAAGATTCAGAACTAGAAGTGTTAAAATACATAAATATTATTTATTTATAATTTGTAATGCAATTATATTTTGGACTAGTGGGTGAATTATCTTGCTATAGAGCTCTGTTCCTATACATTTCAAACTAAATACTACAATATAATTACTATTTATTTTAAATAAATTGGCCATTTAATTTTCAAAAATACGATGATTTAATAAAGATATTTTTAAATAATTTTTTTTTAAATATTCTCTAATTTGGTTTGGTAAATAAAAGTAGTTTGAAAAATTATTATATAGKCTAAAATGTCAAATTTATTACGTTTTTTTATCATCTACGTCTTTTTGATTTTTTAAAAGAACTTCGACATATTTTCGTTCGTTAATGGTATTATTATCTGTGTCCATCATGGTCTATTAAATTATTTTTAATTTGTTTTCAATAGAGTAACACATATGAAATGTAATTAAAATAACTAATTGCAATTGTTTATAAAATTGAAAACTTAAGACACAGTGAAAAATTTTGAAATTTCGTTTAAAAAAATTAATTCTAAATAATATTATCATTTATTATAATACATTATCAATCAAATTTTAGGATTTAACATTTCCTTATCAAATACAAGTTTTATTATTTACCAGATCACAGAATAATTCTGTCATTCTGTGAGCTGTGACTAGACCATCAAGATTACATATTATATATTTGTCTCTAATCTTCAAGATTCAAATATATTAATACCACTCACTATTTACCATAGACATTTAAATATAATATTTATAAGTTTATGCTATTTACCCTCGTTCGTGGTAGTATTGTTCTGTGGTGTAGTGATGGTAAGAAATAGTAATAGCAGCTGCTATAAATTATAATAGCACTGCTATTTTATGTCTATACATTATTTACTTTTAGCGT